CACACACACACACACACACACACACACACACACACACACACACACACACACACACACACACACACACACAGACTGTGCACGCGCCCTTGTCAGTTAAGAATGGGGTTTAAAATATTCTCACCAAATTCCACCTGCATCTTTTAGCTCAGCCGGCATCATAGTGGACTATGAAATGGGCAGCTCTGTTTCGAATCCCTGACTGGTCGTTCTTCAACTTGGGTCGTTTTGTGGAGATTTTATTGCTCTCAACTATAGCGAAATGTGGTAGTAATAGTTCGCTATACTCTCAACCCATTTGGCTCGGATATGGAGGTTACATCTAGCGGTCCTGGCTACTAATTAACTTAACACTTATAGTGTTGAAATGGTCGTTAAACCTATACTCTTCACTACTTACACGGGACACTGCTCTTGCGTTTTTTCCCTCTACCCAAAACAAAAGAAAACCAGCAAAACAAAGGAAGAAAGAAAGAAAGAAAGAAAAAAAGAAAGGAAGGAAGGACGGAAGGAAGAAAGAAAGAAAGAAAGGAAGAAAGAAAGAAAGGAAGGGAAAAAGAAAGAAAGAAAGAAAGAAAGAAAGGAAGGAAGAAAGGAAGGAAGAAAGGAAGGACGAAAGAAAGAAAGGAAGGAAGGAAGGGAGAAAGAAAGAAAGAAAAAAGAAAGGAAGGAAGAAAGGAAAAAAGCCAGGTAGAGACAACGCCTATGACTCACCACGGAGGAGATTTTGCTCATCACTCTGGAGGCAGCACGGTTCAGGCTGAGGACGACAATCAGGTTTGGGTTCACGTAAAACATAGCACACAATAATCTCTTGACAGCACTTTTGTGGGGTGGTTGGCGGGTGCTCTGATGTGGTTTGCTCCTTCTTTCCCATCAAACATCTATCATCCTTATCTCCCCTCCTTCTTTTTTGTGTTTATTGTTACTCTATTGTAACATGACACCTAATCTTCGCACTTATATAACCTTATTGTTTTGCACGTGCCGTAAAACACTTACAAAAACTAACTGATCTCATTGTTTTCACATTGGTCTGCCTCTGGTTATGTACCGTGCTTCACTGTCCGTCCCCGTATTTGCTCTAGGTTATTTTCAACATTTCTTTAGTCATTACATTTCATTGGGAAAAGTCCGGGCAACTGTCTCTGAAAGAAGAGGCTGGAATGCTACCTCTTCCCCATATTCCTGTACAAAGGAGGAGGAAAACAAAATATCTAGCGTTCGAAATGTGGTGCTACCGTAGAATAAGTTTGAAAGAAAAAACAAAAAAATCAAAAACGAAAAAAAAGACGAACAATGAGGTCCGTGAGATTCTCCACACAAGACAAACCCTGCTGAATTAAGCAAAATGTAGAAAAATACAATACTATGGGTACTTGAAACGGCACGAGACCATTGTGAAAGGGGTGCTTGAAGGAATGACGTGGGGCAGGAGAGTCAGGGGGAAGACAAAGAGTAACTTGGATAGACAATATAAAAACATGGACCGGCCTGGATATGGCAGAATATGCAACGGCAGCTCGTTACAGTGACGGATTAAGGATCATGGCACGTCAACCTCTGAGTCAAAGATAGCACCATTTTAGGTATCCAGGTATTTTCTCATACTCCTAAAGAAACCCATCAAAGTGAAACGTTGTTCGCTTGGTAAGAGTTTTTCGGCGCTCGCAACAACAAGGTCATTATGAGCGCTCAGAACTCAGGTTGGTTGTTTTTCCACGTTAGTTCGTAGAATGCTGTGATTTTTCTCTTTACAAGTCTGAACAGTTCAAGTAGATGAACTCTCTTAAGATTTGCGAGTGTGGAATCGGTGGGGGAAGTGAGGCAAAACAAGGTACCGAACAGAATTAGGAAAGGTGATTTGGAGGAATTTTCTTCAGTCACGGCAGTGGCCTCTGCAGAAAAGAATGAAAACCTGCGGATGAAGCCTCCTATGTTGACTACTGTTTGTAGGGAGGGCAGCGGCGTCTACAGCAGAGTCCAATTTAGAGCTTTCGGTAAAGATTTTCCTCTGCGAAGGTATTGTTTGATAAGTTTTTTTAGCATGAGGTTTGGAATATTTTTTATGTCAGAGCATGATTTATAATTGTGTGCTGTCAGGTTTAAGTTTATTTGCTATGTATCTTCTTCTAAATATATAATAGTGTATATATAGAGAGACTTAAAGCGTTTGTAAGGTGTACATTAAATTGAAAATGTATCAGATAGATAGATATATACTCGTAGATAGACAGATAGTTAGATAGATAGATAGATAGATAGATAGATAGATAGATAGATAGATAGATAGATAGAAAGATAGATAGATAGATAGATAGATAGATAGATAGATAGATAGATAGATAGATAGATAGATAGATAGATAGATAGATAGATAGATAGATAGATAGATAGATAGATAGATAGATAGATAGATAGATAGATAGATAGATAGATAGATAGATAGATAGATAGATAGATAGATAGATAGATAGATAGATAGATAGATAGATAGATAGATAGATAGATAGATAGATAGATAGATAGATAGATAGATAGATAGATAGATAGATAGATAGATTAAACACCGACAAACAGCTACATTCTCTCAGCGGTAAAAGACACATACCTCTTCCTAGCTGTCTGCATCCGGAGAGTTTCTGAGAGGATCTTCACACCATTGGCTAGGACGTTTGCCTCTGCGAAAGGCGGACAAGAGTTTTATTATCATGTGTGGCGTTGTACTGAAATACGGTGCTCGTCAAAATAATGAAATCAAAGAAACTGACATTTTTTCTTTTTGGCAACTTTTAACGATTTTTTTTTAGCTTAACACCTTTTTTGGTCTATGTAAGCATAAGGCACACAAATGTAAATATCCAGTGTCCAAACACGCTCACTGTATGTAAGTAAAAAAAACTATGCCAACCTTTTTTTTCTCGCGACTTCCACCTCCTTCGGCCGCAAATATATCGACTTCTATTCTAGTTAGATGGATTTTTTAAAAATCGAAAGCAAGACAAATGAATAGGCTTTAAGATGAAACTACGAGTATATGCGGGAGAGTCTGTGTGTATACTATGTGCGTTCAGTCTCTTTGCACCACCAATCTTACTTCTGGGAGATCTGCCACTATCCCGTACATGATAGTGAATATTTACAAAATATCCATCCATCCATCCATCCATCCATCCATCCATCCATAGATCCATCCATCCATCCATCCATCCATCCATCCATCCATCCATCCATTTGTCCATCAACTCATCCATCCATCCATCCATCCATCCATCCATCCATCCATCCATCCATCCATCCATCCATCCATCCATCCATCCATCCATCCATCCACCCATCTACCCATCCATCCATCTATCCATCCACCCATCCATGGATCCATCCATCCATCCTTCCATCCATCCATCCATCCATCCATCCATCCATCCATTCATTCAGCCATCCACCCACATACGTTCTCCAAGTTTCGCTCTTATGTCACTGTCCATCAGTATGGCCGCCATCTCCGAGATCACCTCTATCCAGGGTTTCATTTCCCCGGTACTCAGTTTTCGGTTTTCTGGGTGGGAGAAAGGGGGAGGGGGAAAAAGGGGGAGGAGGTGATGTGTTCTGATACGGATTTATAACGAATTGTGTTAAGAAAATAAATCTTAAAAAATAATGCGTTACAAATACAGGACTTATAAGCGGTGCTTACAAATAGTGAATTAAAAGTAGTGCCTCACAAATACTGAATTAAAATGCAGTGTCTCACAAATACTGAATTAAAATGCAGTGTCTCACAAATACTGAATTAAAATGCAGTGTCTCACAAATACTGAACTAGAATGCAGTGCGTTACATATACAGAGAGGAGCAAAGCGCTGTATCACATGTACAGAATCAACATGCAGCATGTAACAGATAAATGTACCCCCCCCCCCCCAATACACAAAAACAACAACAAAATAATATAGAAAAATATGAACTATATGAAAAATATGTAATAAACATGTTTATTCGCAAGGATGGATTCAGATATGATACAGACTTGACACTGGACATGGACACAAACAGGTCACTCACTCAACTCACGAGACAGGAAAACGGAAGCTAGACCTCTGGACAATCGTAAGGGGAATGCACCCACATAATTAACATAATTAACAATCAACAAGACCATTGATTGTTTACCTTTAAAACTTTCATAAAGATTCATTACATTCCTCCCCCCTACAATAGATACAGGCACAACGTGAACCATCAGGAGACATGGCATGTTCATCAAAATAACACATAATACAAGTCATTCGACAATACGAATCAATTCAACAATGATCCAACAACAACCAAGCTTCTTGACTCACAATTATAAAAATGCAGTCTCACAGACACTAATTATAAGTAAGCCTATCTGGAGCTTGGTGAGTTATCAGATTGGCAATCTGGCTCTATTCTTTCTGCCTCAGCCTCCACCGACTGGTTCGA